TAGAACTCTCAAACTAAGACAAGTTACGCAAAAACTGTTTGACGGCGATGATACGTTGTTCAAAAAAAAATGTTCATTATCCCGCCTTAAACGTTTACACCATAATGTGAATTCTTATTGTCGTTTTCGTGGTCCATCATAGAAAGTAAAATAGAATATAGTATAATTTAGGAGCACCCATATACTTAGAATACTTATATAGGCCCTTGAACTCAACCGCGCACATTTTTAGTGCACTTTAGAGTCTGGTCTCATTTTAAAGTTTCTATCAAACTTATATTTTTCAATTTCCACATTTTTATAGTTTATTAATAAATATTTATTCATTTTTTTAAAGATTTTATTCATTATGATTATTTTTAAATTGATTTATTTCATGCATTTGCACAATATTTATTATTTATGCATATTTAGTATCCTTTTTCTGGTGTACGAATAGCCGAACTGATTTGAGATCGTCGTGCTTGACAGGCACCCCCCTACACAGTTATAAAATTATACTTCTTCATTTTAGAAATATAATTTAATAAACTTTAATTATGAAAAAAAATTAACAATGACGGTCAAAACAACGGAATGGAATAAATTTTTATATTTTAAATGAAAAAGTAAATAATTCTTTAAATAATTAAAAAAAACTAAAGCTTCACTTTAAATATTGAAAAATATAATTAAATATTAAAACCATTAAATTAAATATTAAAAATATATAAAAGTTAAAAAACCGATCAAAAAATTTTAAAGTACTAAAAAGTTTAAAAATTGCATAACGTCTCTCATTTATCTCGTAGACAAATCAAGTCATATCTTAAAAATCAGAATTGTGCAACATGTACAGTTTGCAAAACTACGGCAAGATAATAATAGACATAATAATAACACATCTAAAAGAGACCAAATTAGTTATCAGAGAACAACATTGTTATGCGAATCATAAAAGCTGTTGTACTAATAGAAGCAAGGGAACATAATAAAGCTGTTGATATAGCATTTATTAATTTTGCTGAAGCTTTTGATTCTGTCAAACACACATAAACGATTATGTACAAAATTAGAAAGTTTTGATGTAAAGAATTTATAATGATGGTGCAAAGCATTTTTAAACAATAGAAACAGAGTGGTCAAGGGAGGTTATGTATCAAGCTGTATAGATGTCTAAAGTGGAGTTTCTCAAAAATCAGTACTTGAAGCATTACTTTTTGCTATGTACATCAATGACCTTATTTTGAATGTGAGACTATATGCGGGTGATACAAAAATTAAATTATTAAAGGAAATAAAAAAAGGACAAGTTCACAAAATGATATGGATAAAATGATCAGATAAGTGGCAGGATTTTAATAATGAAATTTGTAGGATAAGACGAATTGGTAGAAATAATCCCATATACGATTTTATATATAATAATGAGAATGAAAGAATAAAATAAAACAGTACTTGAAAAAATTTATGTGCGTCAAATTATCTGAAATGGAAAGAAAATATTTATTATGCAGTTGGCTAAACGAACAGAAAACTAAGTTAAATTAGAAGATCTTTTTAGTCGTTAGTCGAAAAATTGAGGCGGCATCTGGAATACGCAGTCACAGTTTGGAATCCATATTTAATGGAAGCCATAAAAAAATAAAACAAGTTCAGAGAAGAGCGACCAAATTGTATAAACTAAAAAAACTTTGACTTATCATGACAGATTAAGTATAATTGGTAACCAACTTCAAAAAAAGAAGAATCAGATGTGACCTGATAAAATAATTAACGGCACAGATATAACAAATTGACCTAATGAACAGATATTTATGTTTGATCTAAGAAAAAACATAATAAAAGATTAAGAATGAAAAAAGTAAAAAGAAAAAACTTTAGTATAGCTTTTCATGAAAATAATTGGAATAATTTATAATTTACCTCCAGAAGCAATTTGTGCCAAAGATTTGAATATGTTTTAAAACTATCAAGACTCGATTATTTGAAAAATAATTTCAAGCTGCTATAGCCATGATGGTACTGTTGCCTGACTCAATGCACGAAAGTGCGTCACAGCATATTATATTATTATTAAAAATGTACATACGTATATTGTATAGTTTTTTTTAAATTTATGTATCTTTGTTGAAAACATTTTTTTTTATTAATAAATATTTTAAGCACACTCTTTTTTGATTACAAAAAACAACTGATAGTTTTATTAATCAACAAACCTTATCTTATTGATATTTATTGGCTATATAATCAAGTAAAAAGCTGTTACGCGTGGTGACATTTTAAAAATAATTACTAAACATTATTTTCGCTAGTCGAATCGAAACAAAAATCGGGTCGAAAAAAACCGTTCGAGGCCCTGCTTTTAGTTAATTTGAATCTGGACTTATAGTTTAATATTTTGAAGAATTTTTTAGAAGTTCCTCTTTTTTAATTACTAAAAAGATGAACTTTGCTTTATTCATAACACAATTTTATTAATTGTTTTACATTCTGGATGTTTATTTACGTCCTCTTACCTTAATAGCTTCGGGGAATAATTCAGGTAGCAACAAGTAGGTTATCTTTTTTAAATTTTGAGTTTTATAATTTGGTCTAAGAGTATTTCCACATTTATTCTTCAATCATATTTTCTGGATTTCAATCAGTTAATCAGTGTTTATGTACGTCGTGTGGTGTGGCATAAAGATTTGCATAATAAAGAACAAAAAATTTAATAAAATGCTTATTGTTTTTTATTAAACTTACGACAAATTTGGTCCAGAAACTTCAGAGTCATTAAAATTCTTTTCAAAACAATGTAAGGCAGTTTACAAAACTATACAGATATAGAGCTCTTTTCAACAAAATAAAACAAATATACATTTTTAAAATATATGCATTTTCATGTTTAATGTTCATAAATTTAGAAAACTGATGACCCATAAACTTAGATAAGAAAAATCGAGTTTTGACAAAATTTTCAGCATGCAAAAAACAAATATAAATAAATATTCGGTTTCTTGTTATGGATTGAACCATTAATGCTTTCATCATTAAAAAACCAACTTCCATCGGCCAACTCGCCACTTTGGCAAATTGAAAAAAAATATGGGTGTTTACATATTTTCCAAAATCGGAAAATATGTAAACTCTTAGCTTTATTAAAAGCAAACCTCTTAGCAACATTTCTATCAGTAAACATCAACGAAAAAAAAAGATTGCTAATTCTTTCAGATGATTCAAAAGATAAATACTAAGTTATATTTATTACCCATAAAATTTCTGCAAAAATTGAATTATGGGTAATGTGGACTTCGTTTCAAAAATTTTTTCGTTTTAGTTTTGGTAAAGTTTTGCTAAATATTTTCGTTTTAGTTTTCATTTCATTTTTTAAAAATTTGTAGTTTTAATATCGTTTTGTAAAACTTTTCGTTTTAGTTAGCTTTCGATTAAAAAACAATCAACCCATAATTAAAAAATGTATAAAGCATGTATACAACACAAGGATTTTAAGCCTTGTCTATTAAACTTTTCAATTAAAAAAAAATTTTTTTCAAGATTTTGTTCACCTGGTTTTTTCTGCCAATATATAAATAGTTCATTGAAAAAAGTCTTCAGCTTTAGCATTTTTTTAGCATCAACCATTTCTTGTTTAAAACCAAACATTCTGTAATTTTCTAAATACTTATTACATTTTTTAAGCATTTCAGTGCCCTGTACCAAATCCATGTCCTCGGCCTGCATCGCAATACTAACAACGTTTATTTGAAACAGTTTATTGTACCATGCAATTAAAGGCATTAGAAAACTATAAACTTTTAATTGCTCTGCTAGTGTAAGTACTTCATGTGCAATATCAGGAATGTTAGTAAATATATAAGGCCACTTTTTTGGTATAGGAATGTTTTGATACTTTCAATTTTGCTTAACCAATAAACAATGCTTAACCAAAATGTCGCGAAATATGTGGCGCCACAAAGGATACAAGCGCACAAAATGAAATTTAGTTACAAAAACGTTTGAAAAAATTAGGATAAAATTTATAATTTTTTTGACTAAAGTATTTTCAACATACTATTGGTATGAAAAATAAATTTCTAGGAAAAACTAATGTATGTTTAAAATAGATATTAGTTTAACTAAATCTATTTTCTATTATTTTAATAACTTATTTTTATTATAAAATATTATCTAGTGTTTGGCATTTTGGAGACAGCATTTGGCAACCCCAGTTATCCGGAATCCAACGTCGCCCCCACTAAGGCCTGCGCTGGATAAACGATGTTTAAAACCTTTGTATTGTATATACTTCATAATTTTTTAAATAATCACTAAATGAGTTAACGAAAATTAAAACCAACGGTTTTACATAATGATATTACAACTAAAACTGATCAAACTTTAAAACTGATACGGAAATTTAAACAAAACTATTTGGCAAAACTTAACAAAAACTTAAACGAAAAAACTTTTGAAACGAGATCTACACTATCTTTATATACTAACCAAATCAAGGCATAAATCTATGGAATGGTTTATGTCATGACGTCATTGATATGGGCAACTTAAAAGCCTTCAAACTTTCAATTAAAAAAGCTGTTATCAATGTTAATTAATTGTACATTATTTTTATTTCATCATAAATCTAAGTGTGAATGAATGTAATAAAAGGTACTGAGTTAAGTTGAACGGACATATTTCTAATATCTGTTATGTGACTTTATTTCGATATATATATATATATATATATATATATATATATATATATATATATATATATATATGAGAATATGTATATTTTTCTATTTTTATACACTTAGTTAAGGTAGTCTGCACAAGCTTGCTTTTATGATTGCCTGTTTTATTTCTTTGAGAATAAACGAATTCTTGGAATTAAAAAAATCCTTTTTTGCAAGCAAAAAATTCAAAGAACGAACGAATGAATGAACGAATAAATAAATAAAATGAATGAATTGATTGATTAAAAAATATTTAACGAGTTTTTGAAAAACATAAAATTACTGAATAAAAAAATGTACCTAGCAAATCCTTGGGGAAGCTCTCCCAGTCCATAAAGTGGGTAAAGATATGGTGATTTACCATATCTTGACAATGATTCGCTATACAATTGTATGCGAGGAATGGTTTCAATTGCAGGCTGATTTAAATAACTGTCAAAATATAACAACTTTTATAATCAGAATTTTAAATTTATTAATTATAAAAATATTTCACTGTGTAATTGTTATTTCAAAAATGGAATTAAATTTTCTCATATTTTATGAACTCAAAAAAAATTTGGAGGCGCATAGGTGTAATAGTCATTGGAACAGACATTGCTATTGCAGTGACAGTGTTCAAATGCAAGATGTTCTCAACCTACCACACGTAATGTGTATAATGTGTTGATTCACACATATTTACTTGCACTGTGTTCGTTGCTGACACCTCTGAAAAATATTAAATAGAGAATTCTACAAAAATTATAAAACAATGTGGAGAAAGAACACAAAAAACTTCGTCACAATAGAATGCTGAAATGTGTACAGGTCGTCTATTCTTTTATCCATTCACTTAAAAATAACAAACCTGGCTGAATATGTATGAGCAGCTAATTTGTTGTTCGTTACTGTTCGTTACTATTCGCCAGGCAGAGATTAGATTTACATAATTTCCATTATAATTTTTGTAATCTAATTCCTATACACACTAATGGAAACAAACATAATAAGCAATTAAATGTTTTATTTTTTCAAAACCTCAAAATCTTCAACCTTATTTATTCCTTCATTTGTTGATACAATCTATAATAACACTCAATATTTGCAAACAAAAAGTATCATCATAGAAAACAATAAGTTCAACAAAAACTCTCGCTTAACAAAAACTCTCGTTCAACAAAAACTCTCGTTCCACAAAAACTCTGCAGTGCTATCATTTAAACTATTGTTTACTTCTTGAAAACATTGGGGTGTAAACGTTGTGAACGAAAGCAACATTACAAATTATTGATAAATGTGATATCATGCTGGCTGCATTTCCGACCAGCTAACATTCGTCTAAAAATTTTCTGATTTACAATTATTGCATGGCTTTGTGGTTGTTTTAACATATTTTTTGAATTAATATTTTAAGCTATGAAAAAAATGATTAGAAGCTTGAAAAAAGTTTAAATGAATATATTTCAAAATAATCTTTAAAATAAAACTTTTTTAATCTATTTAAAATATTACTTGGGTGTATATATACAGCTACTCAAAGTAATTTTTCTTACAATGTAGCAAAAATTTTGGATTCATATTATATTATATATTATTCTCAAAAGTGAACCATCAGCCACGCAAATTGATTTCTTTGATTTCAAGCAACAGCACCAAAGGCTATTCAAAAATGTCAAAGTTATACCTGGCGAATCATGTGTCGCCCAACATAGACTCCTTGTGGCAGACCTGGTTGTCGAACTGTCAAAACATAAGTCTAAACAAATGCCTCGGAGAATCAAAACGTGGAAGCTGAAAAGCAATATTCATCGAGAAAAATTTCAACAGATTATCATTACACAGTTAGACCACCAATCGCAAGCCAGTACAGATTGGAGTACATACAAAACCGTTTTAATGAACGCTGCAACTACAGTTTGTGGGAAAACTGGTACAAAACGCCAGCATGAACGGGACACTTGGTGGTGCAATGACAGTTTACAAAATGCAATAGCTGAAAAAAAGCTGCATACAATCAATGGCAAAAATCAAAGTCTGGTGATGACCATAAAATTTTCCGTGAAAAGAACAACTATGCAAGACGTCAAGTCGCACTGGCTCGGACAGATCAGTGCAGAGAGTGGCTCACTAAAAGCAAAGATGAACAAATGAAATCTCTGTATCGTATGCAAAACAAGCAAAGCGTACGAAAAATGACATAGTTGGTGCCTCATGTATCAAAAACGACAAAAATGAGATGGTTCTTGAACAAGATGAGATCAAGCTACAGTGGAAAGAATACTTCAAACCGTCTGTTAAATGAAATAAATCCCATCTATGTCAACTTCGACGCTCCACCCATCGAAGGTCCGATTCCAGACATCACTGTAGAGGAGCTTACAGAAGCTCTGAAAGCTATGAAGGGTGGAAAGGCAGCAGGGCCTTCTGGACTCACAAATGACATTATCGAAACATCAGGTACTGCAGGTATCCAAACGTCACTACAACTTTGCCGTGAAGTGTGGAGAAATCGCTCAATGCCGACTGAATGGAATGACAGTCCCGCTATACAAAGGCAAAGGTGATCCATTAAACTGTTCATCATATCGGGGTATACGTCTGTTAGAACATTCCCTGAAAATTGTCGAGAAAATCATTGAGAGAAGATTAACGTCATGCATTACAATCGGAAATTATCAATTTGGTTTCCTAGCGGAAAAATCAACAATTGATGCAATTCACATCCTTCGGCAACTGCAAGAGAAGTACCTCGCAAAGCATCAACAACTATCACACATTTTTGTAGACCTTGAAAAAGCATTTGATCGAGTTCCCCGTGAAGCAATCAGGTGGAGTCTACGTCGACAACTCATTCCAGGAAATCTTGTTCAACTTGTGATGGAAATGTATACGAATACAAAGACTCTCGTCAGCACAACGGTTGGAAACACAGATGCATTTGACATCGGCGTTGGAGTTCACCAAGGCTCGATTCTCAGTCCACTGTTATTTATAACTGTGATGGAAGAAATCACAAAGCCAATACCCATTGGTGACATTTGGAATCTAATATACGCTGATGATATCGTTTTAACAGCCACGTCTGAGCAGAATGCAACACAGATGTTTGAAAATTTTTGCATCAATCCACAACAACAAATTCGAAATAGCAATGTTTTTGAAACCCTTAGGGTAGAGAAAGTCACATCGTTTCAATATCTAGGGGATGTCCTGGATTGTACTGGAACAGATCAAGCTGCCATTCGAGCACACATACGTGCAGCATAGAATTAATGACATCTCCTTGCCTCTATATTGATGCGGCGTGACATCCCACTACCACTACGACCAAGACTTTATAAATATGTGATACGTCCGGTGTTGTTATATGGTGCAGAAACATGGCCAATGACAACCAAACTGGAACAACTTCACCGAACCGATATGAAAATGCTCCGATGGATGCAACAAATTAGTCTGAAGGACCACATCAAATCTACCGAAATCCTGCGTCGTTCTAGTTTAGATGATATAAAGCACGAATGCCGGCAACACCGTCTGAAGTGGTTTGGTCATGTCAAACGAAGTGGAAACAGAGCCATGACTTCTCTTGCAAAGAAGTCCTGGTCGCAATCAATCGAGCAAGACATGAAAGCTCTAAATTTAAATGAAATTGATACAACTGATCGTCTAATTTGGCGCAAAAAATTGATGGCAAAGAAAACAACGTCCGGCAAAGAAAACATCGTCCTACTTCGGGGGAACTGGGTCTCTGGACACTAAACGAAGATTGATTGATTTTTCTCAAAAGGAATAGCGGTGATTATCTTGATTGTAGATTCGTTAAAGTGTATTTTGACAAAAAAATAACCACTAGTCCCATGCATCATTAAGCAGATACCCGACAAACATTATAATAAAAATGCTAAACATTTTATAAATTCTAACTCATCATTAAGATAGAGAGCAAGTGCATGTCCAGTGAACTCAGCCGTATTTTCATCCAATCCAAACTTTTCGTATATTGCCCTCATTGTCATGTTTCCGAGGTCATATCCTTTCCATGTTTTTTGGTCATCAATATTAAACTGATCCACAAATTGAAGAAACGTGCGAAATCTTCTTTTCTCAAATAAACCCATCAACCCTAAAAATTACATTTTCTTTAAGTGAAAAAGTAGTTAAACAGAATTTATTTTGAACGTTATAAAAATTATAATCGTACGGTAACCATTTCTTTCCTGGCTGTTTTGCAATATTTCATACACTTGTTTAAAATAATATTTTATAAATCTGACTTAAGATTCATACTCTTGAAGATGGGTGTAGGTGAACGTTCTACTGAGTTTGGGGATTGGTCCTGTAAACTTTCTGTTATATTTTTACCCCCGTGGAAAGAAATTTATTTAGATGCTGAATCCATATTCCATGAAAAAATATATCGAAGTAACTAAAAATAATAATATATTTTGGGAGCGCGCAAAAGAGAAAAAAAGATCTGAAGCTGAAACCAGAATGGCAATGATGGAAATACCAAAGAATATCTTTTTGATGGTTCAGATTCTGCTTAGGCATCCTCATATGACAAGTGAGTTGATGGGCCTACACTGGCATCCAATTCGCCAGTAAATAAGGTTTAAAACTGCCGTTCTGGTGAACAATACAACTGCATCAACGGTCGATGCCCAAATAATTTTAGCCAGGTTTAGCAACGTACAGCACCTAATAGGAAAATTCTGGTACCCAGATCGTTACCAACGATTGCCGGTTTTTTAACGTTATTCTTATCGTCTGTAATTGGCTGCCATTGGATTTTTGTAGAACCGGCTCTTTGAAGTTGTTCAAAAAACGAGCAAAGATTAACTATACAACAAAGCTTTTGAACGTCGTCTGACAACCGATTGACAAGTGTTGTTTTGACATGTGCCTGTGTCAATACTTCTTTGATAGCTATTATATATGTAATCCAAGAAATGCAAAACTCCATATTCCATGAAAAAAATATATCGAAGTAGCTAAAAACAATCATATATTTTGGAAGCGTGCAAAAGGGAACAAAGGAAGATCTGAAGCTGAAATCAGAATGTAATCCAAGGATTACGTCCAGCAATAAACATTTAACAACACGCTACTGGTGTCTTACCGATTAAGTCAGAAGCCGAACAGAGTCAATTGGTGAAGACTCTCAGTAACAAAGTCACTCAAAACCTATATAAAGAGAAACAAAAACAAAAATTTAAAAATTAATGAAAATTTTTATTTAAGAACTGAACAAACATGATAATTAACTAAAATTCGTCGTGCAAAAAATTCAAATAAACAATTGCGAATTGAACAATGCTTGCAATGCCGTCATATTTATAAACAACTGCATATTAGCAATCCGATATACATATATATATATATATATATATATATATATATATATATATATATATATATATATATATATGTACGGTTGAAGATTACACCCCATTTTGCAGTTAGAAGTTTTTTAAATAAAATTTCAACAACACGAAGCTGTTTTGTTTCAACTTTATTAAACTGTGAAGTTTGGCTGACGGCCGTTTCGGCTAATGCCATCGTCGGAGCCTAGATTGTAAAACCAAATGAGGAGTTAATAATATAAATTATAAGAAATAGAAAATAGAATATTAGATATTAAAATGAATAAATAAATGAATAACAACCTATATTTTAAAATTAACTCATTATATTGTTGAAAATAAAATAAACGAATAAATTTAAAAGAAAAATTAAGAATAAAATTGTTTGTGTATTATCGTAGTTGAAGTGTAGAAAGTTAGCATAGTGATAAGAAGTAATGCAGAAATTATGGGAAGTCGATAATAATATTTAATGATATGAGAATTTATTGAAGAATTATTAGATATTTAACAATTGGATATAATATTATTTAGCAATAAATATGTATAAAGAAATATTATGGCGTGGCAAATAATGAAGTTAGTGAACAAATTGTTTGAGTTTTATGGCGTGAAGAGACAAACGGATTGTTGTTAATGGTGCGTTCTTGTGTGTTATATTCGTATTTATATTTGGTGTGTAGTTGCTGTCTATTGATGACGTTTGGCAATTGAGGCAGTACAACGTCGCGATATTGAGTAAAAAGTTGTAAGACGTGGGCGAAATTGTCTGACCGCGTGTTGATTGTTGGCTTATTATTGAGGATGAGAATAGCTTCTTTTATTTTGAGTCTTGAGGGACGACGTTCATTACAAAGTATGTTAGTGTTATTATCAAGAATTTTTCGAGTAACTGGTATGTTGTGCTGCTTATTGAAGTGATCCTTGATAGCGCCTTGCTGTACGTGCATGGTAAGGCGTCTGCGAAGTGTTGTACGTGTGTGTCCAATATATGTTTCCACATCACGGTGTGGCAAAGGGCATCGAAATTGGTACACGACGTTCGTACTATCTAGATTATCTTTTGTAGTGGCTGGACTGTTTTTGATGACTAATTGTTGTGTTTTTGTTGACTAACTTCATTATTTGCCACGCCTTAATATTTCTTTATACATATTTATTGCTAAATAATATTATATCCAATTGTTAAATATCTAATAATTCTTCAATAAATTCTCATATCATTAAATATTATTATCGACTTCCCATAATTTCTGCATTACTTCTTATCACCATTACCCGCCATAAGCCAGACGTACGTTTCGTCTCTCACGAGACTCGTCAGTAGCCTGCCGAATAAGGTTTAAGATAACACAACTCAATTATTGTAACCAAGAAACTCAAATTGAGGTGTCGCGAAAAATAGGCAAGAACAACATCTCGTTGTTACAAGGTTTAAGAAGCCATTCAGTCGCAAGAGGTATTATTGGTAAACCATTACCCGCCATAAGCCAGACGTACGTTTCGTCTCTCACGAGACTCGTCAGTAGCCTGCCGAATAAGGTTTAAGATAACACAACTCAATTATTGTAACCAGGAAACTAAAATTGAGGTGTCGCGACCAATAGGCAAGAACAACATCTCGTTGTTACAAGGTTTAAGAAGCCATTCAGTCGCAAGAGGTATTATTGGTAAACCATTACCCGCCATAGGCAAGACGTACGTCTCGTCTCTCACGAGACTCGTCAGTAGCCTGCCGAATAAGGTTTAAGATAACACAACTCAATTATTGTAACCAAGAAACTCAAATTGAGGTGTCGCGACCAATAGGCAAGAACAACATCTCGTTGTTACAAGGTTTAAGAACCCATTCAGTCGCAAGAGGTATTATTGGTAAACCATTACCCGTCATAGGCCAGACGTACGTTTGTGAATATATATATATATATATATATATATATATATACATATATATACATATATGTTGGTAATAGACCATAATTTTTACAATATTCTATAAATTCTACCGAATGTTTGGCGTTAACATAAACGAACTACAAACATGTTAACGCCAAACACCGAATGTTTGGCGTTAACATAAACGAACTACAAACATGTTAACGCCAAACATTCGGTAGAATTTATAGAATATTGTAAAATATATATAGGATATACATACACTTTTATCTCTGCGCTCCTACTTTGTTGGCTCCAAGAATTGGCTTTGTGTTCCTAATTTATTGGCTCCAATAAATCACTTTGCGTTTCTCATTATTAGTAGTTTCTTTGTCTGTAGTAAAGTTATTGCATTCTGTTGTAAATATATTAAAGGATTATTTTTGTTTACGTAAAGTGCTTCAGCAATTTTAAGTTGAAAATTGTTTCTACATTTGTTGGTTGGTTTGGTATCGACCAAAGTTTTGAAATTATTCTTTATATTTTGAACTCTTGAACATCCAAAAAAGGTAATTTATCTTCAATTAAATGTTCAATTGTATATTTCTATTTAGATTTATTAAACTCATTCAAAAGTTGGTCAATAGTTTCATCATTGTTGTAAGCGACGAAGATACAATATCATCAATATATCGACCAATATAGCTGCGGTTTGAGTTGTGGGATTTTGGTGAATATATTTTTTTCCAGATGTCCCATGTCAATCAATCTTCTTTTAGCGTCCAGAGACCCAGTTCTCCGAGGTAGGACGTTGTTTTCTTTGCAACCAATTTTTTGTGCCATCTAAACCAGAATGACGCAGGATTTCGGTTGATTTGATTTGGTCCTTCAGACTAATTCGTTGCATCCATCGGAGCATTTTCATATCGGCCATGTTTTTGCACCATATAACATCACCGGACGTATCACAAATTTATAAAGTCTTGATCGTAGTTGTAGTGGGATGTCACGCCGCATCAATATAGAACCAAGGAGATGCCATTTATTCCAGGCTGTACGTATGCGTGCTCGAACAGCAGCTTCAGCTGTTCCAGTACAACCCAGAACATCCCCTACATATTGAAACGATGTGACTTTCTCTACCTTAATGGCTTCAAAAACATTGCTATTTTGAATTTGTTGTTGTGGAATGATGCAAGCAGGACAAGCCCAGATGTCCCATGTAAGAGTTAGCAAATAAAACGCCTAATGAGAAGACCATTGCAACTCCGTCAATTTGTTTGCATAGTTTGTTATCTGGGGTATAGAAAGGTGCTTCCATCGTACAAATTTCAAGAAGCTTTTTTAGATAATTTTTTGAATTTTTGATGGTGTTAGTTATAAATTCTTTTTAAAATTATGTATAATGTTTCTTCGACAGGTACGTTTGTATCTATCTATCAATCACGTAATTAAGTTGTTGAGTGTTTTATCAACTGGGTATGCTACGGTTTGTATTTGACTAATTATAGGCCTTAATTGGTTATCTTTTTTGTTTTTTTACGGTTCCATATAGGTAACCTGCTTCATATTCACCAATCAGTTCTGGAATTTTATCTTCAACTGTTTTATTAATTTCTCAGATGATTCCATTCAATTATGTTCAAAGTCAACATTTAACGGACTGCTATTAATGCAAAATCGTGCGGCAAAGTATAGTACAAATGATGAAATATGATCATGTGACGCCAATACTTCACGAATTACATTGGTTGCCAATTGAGAGCAGAATTGTTTTCAAAGTGTTGGTGATGATGAAAAAATGTGTCAAAGGTGAGGCACCGAAATACCTAATGAATTTGTGCAAAAAACATCATTGACCGAAGGTGGGAGAATTTTAAGGTCCTATAGGAACAATGATTTTAGGTACCACGGGTTAAGTTATAAACAGCTTCAAAAAGTTTCGCAGTGTACAGCCCAATGATGTGGAATAAATTGTCAACGGAACTGAAAATGAATGAAATTGAAGAGACTGTTTTTAGAAAAGAATCAGTGGAAAAAGGCGTTCACGAGGACTTGAATGGATGCTGTGTACAAACTCTACATATAATAATAATAAAATTAATAAAATATTTAAAATGATTTGTCAATCTTATGAATGCACAGAAAGGCCGGTCCGTACGTTCGGCAAGAAGCGTAAAACATCGCTTTTGCCCGCTCCACTCGTGAGGTCGGAAAAATTTGTGGAGAGGGACAGAGGAGCGACTATTTGCACGATGGTGTGCGGTGTCGAGCGACCGGTGGCGTGCACGATCGCTACGGCGCCTACCACCGACACCAACGCAAACAGTTTCATATTAAATGATTTTGATAAAAGCATAATTTTATTAAATTGATAAATACAAACAAAACGATAAAAAAATAAAATGGTGAACCATATTAGAATAACAATGCTAATTAAAATAATGATTCACAGAAAATAGTGAACCAAATTAAAATGTTAAACCAATGTGCAAAGTAGCAAAACGACCATTACATTCACTGACGTCAAATGCATGCATGTGTGTGTGTGTTTGTGTGTGTGTATTGTATATGCTGATTTTAATCGATTTTGATGTTGCGAATGACACACGATTGTATAAACAATAGATGATTGATTATTGCTATTGTTAAGAACTATATAAAAATGACAAATCATGCCAATCAATCAATGAGGTGTCAAAAACTAGTATAAACAAAAAACAAACATTTCAAATAATGAACCAAATTAGGATGATAAAATGAACCATATTAACTAAATTAAGCCTAACCTGAAGCAAGCGCTTCAGTTTCACTCGCGGGGACCTTATGAATTTTCCCAGCTTTGTACACGTAACTCCCTTCAACAGATTTGAATTCTAAGTAACGTGTCACACCTGTATGGATCAATAACTTCACCAGACGACCTGCCCAATCATTATAATTACTGAAAATGTTATAATTATTGTTATTGCTGCTTAACAAAAATGATTAGAATTATTATTTCTATCGCTAAATCTCAAATTTAAAAAATAGATAATATGCATATGAGCTTCTCTTGGCGCGCATGTTGGTAGAATGTTGTATGAATTGTGCGCATGTTGGTATGACATTATAAGAATGCAGGTGAATTTGTTGTAAGCATATGCGAGTACGGTCAGTATGTTTGAGACTGAATTATTTCTCAATTAGTCTTGTTTGGTTGTGTGCATGAACTCCGTTTTAGCATGTAAGTGTGTTCGAGTATGAAATAGGGTTTTTCTAGCTATGTTCTTAAGTTCTTTCTTGGTTTTTCTATTTGGTTCTCTGTTATCTTTAGAAATTGGTTTTTATTTATTTGGTTGGAATTAAAATTATTTACCAATGATTACCTAATAAGGTAAAATTGGCCAAAAAGAGAAATGTTTCGGGAAAAATCTGCCGTTCTGTAGCTTGCTCAATAACAAAACACTTACGAAAAATGTATAAGATGAAAAAATTAATAATGTATATAAATCTCAGAGTGTAATATTATTTGAATTTGTAAGCTATATTTTTCATGGGCATAGAAAAATTTATTAAATAAACTATCATTAGTTTATCATATAATGAAAATATTTTTCATGTGAAATGGCTCTGCTCTATTGCAATATACCTAAGTTTATTTCATACTTAGTATTCTTTAGTCGTTTTAACCCATAAATGCATAAAAGGGACACTCAAATTAAATTCCGTTTAAAATATACATTTTAAAATTAATTAATTTTACGTCTCAGCCTATCTCTAAATAATACTGTTGTAACCCTTGACCTCGTAGTTACCAAAACGAGTGTTTTAGTTTCAAAAGATCGTCAAATGTTCGTTATTCCGTAGGTTCAAGATTTCCGATAGATGAACACAAAACTGCTTCAAACATTTGTTGTTCATATAAGATGTCACCTTCAAGGGGGGAGAGGGGTCCAAATATTTGCCACACTTTGTGACGAGGGGGAGGGAGTAAACGCAAGTGTGACGTACCTTTTTTTTAAATAAACAAAACAATAAACAAATTTTATTAACTTTTCAAGCGAGCAAATAGCTCATGAATATTAATTAAAAGAGGAGTCAAATTTAAATGCCATCGTTAAAGTTTACCGCTGTGTAGGTGTAGAAGTTAATTTTAATTCTTATATTTTAACCACGTAAAGCATTTAGATATCAAACTATCGTCATATAAACTTATCATTCGTTATTTTGATATCAATAAAAAATAAAATGCATAGAACAATTACATTGTTTAATGATTCATCACTAAGAGGGAAGGGGTAAAGTTTTGTGACATGCTTATTTTTGGGGGGTTTGTCGATTTGTGACAGTTTGTGACTCGGGGGAGGGGGGGGGTCAAACAAACGTTAAAAAAGCGTGACATCCTTTAAGGACAGCCCCTTATTTGAATACCAACAGTAATAGAGACACTAAACTAATTCAAGTAACCGCATAAATCACATTTAAGACTTCGCTTTCTCTGCTAGAAACATGACTGCAAGCCTAACTATGCAGGACTTATATATAGCCTAAATTTTTAGCATAGATTCAACATTCCTTTGCAATCCTCCATGGTTCACAATCCAAAGATTACAAATATAGCAAAGATAACAATAATTAGGATAACAAATAATATAGCGCAATTCGATCATTCCCGCGGTTATAACAATACTTTATAAATAAAGATGTTCACTTTTCATTCATTGTGTTGATATTTTTTAAGATAATTTTGTTTGAATTTCAGTTAAGTAAAAAAATACAATTTGGCAAATGGGTCACATAAAAAGTAAATATTTATTGAAATAAGTGCAAATCATTTGTAGACGATTGTGAAGATTATGATAAAGGTACTGAGAAAGATATTGAATCCAATAATTCAAAGAAACAAAAAATTTCTTCCGAAGGTCCTAAAAAATCAGAATCTCCTTTGAGAAGGTGGAGATAGTCTGATTTAAATTCTGTTAATCTTCATTGGACAGACCAAAAACCGGAAGTATTTTATGCTGATTACACTTCTTTGAAAATATTTTAAATGTTTTTCAATGAAAAAGTTAGTCCTGGGCATGACATAAAACCGCATCCCGCTGCCTTGCGTGCTTTTGAGCAAAAGGCTAGGCCCACCGGTTATAACTGGTGGTTGTCGTCAGGATGGGTATCCGGATGTAAAAACTTTTCCCCAAATTATTCCTATGCCATCACACTGAAAAACAACGACCCCTAGTCCCCAGCAGGCCTTAAGTGGTCAAGGAGTGCCAAGAATCGCAGGGAAGTATGCAATTGCGGAGGGATGTTGCAGAAAAATTCAGAACGGCCCCTCTATGGTACTAAGACTTGGAACGCTCAATGTTGGATCACTGACTGGCCGCAGTATGAAAATCACAAAAATGTTCGAGCGTAGAAGGATTGACATCAGCTGCCTTCAGGAAACCCGATGGAAATCGAATGGTGTCTGTCATGTCAACTCAGACAAAAAAATATATAAACTATTCTGGAGTGGTCAAAAGACAGCCAAAAACGGTGTTGGAATTTTTGTCAGAGAACCGCTAGCCCAAGAAGTACTGGATATTAAAAAGATTAATTCACGTCTCATGTGATTATCAAAGCAAACAATGATTATTTTTTCTGCATATGCACCACAAACAGGCGAATCAGAAGAGATGAAAATGACTTCTGGGCTGCGTTCTCTGACACCATCTCAACAATACCAAAATCTGAAACAATCTTGATTGGAGGCGATCTCAATGGCCACGTTAGAGAGAAAACAAATGGTTTTGACAACGTACATGGCGGTTTTGGCTATGGAGAACGGAATGAAGATGGCAACCGCATCCTTGAGTTTCCTGAAAGTCACGGGTTTTGTTTACAGAACACATATTTAAGAAAGAGATTGGAACATCTCATAACATACAAAAGTAGATTGATACGCAAATCGATTTCTTCGCTATCAAGCAACACCGAAGGTTATTTAAAAATGTCAAAGTTATAACTGGTGAATCATGTGTCGCCCAACATAGACTTCTTGTGGCAGACCTAGTTGTAGAACTGTCAAAACATAAGTCTAAACAAATGCCTCGGAGAATTAAAACGTGAAAGCTGAAAAGCATTATTCATCGAGAAAAATTTCAACAGATTGTCGCAACACAGTTAGACCACCAATCGCAAGCCAGTACAGATTGGAGTACATACAAAACCGTTTTGATAAACGCTGCAACTACAGCAAGTTTTACCAACCGGGTCAAAAAATGTACTGTTATCTTGTATATTTAATTAGTAGGAACAGATTTATGCAACTTTTAAAAGTTCTCAGATTCAACAGTGCTGATGCTAGAAGAAAAAACAATCTACAGAGAGATTTCAACCTAATAGATCTGTTTTTGAATACTGGAACAGTGCACTGAAAGATGTATATAATCTAGGAATTAATGTTGCTATTAATGAGCAGTCACTTTCAAAGGCAGGTGTCCATTCAAACGATACATACCTTCAAAGTCAGGTAAATATGGAATTAAAACTTAGGCATTAAGAGACAGTGTTAGTCATTATGTACAATATATAACATGCAAATTTATTCTGGAAAAAGTGAAAATCAACTAGAGAATAAAAGTAAGGATAATAACTGATCTGGTTGAAAATATTGCTGGCTTTTGTAGGAATACAACTTGTGTTTTGCAGTGGCAAGAAAATTATTTTTGAAAATTTTTTCACTATTGTTGTTGGTATCATGAGAAAAAATTGAATTGAATTAGCAAAGAAAATAATGATTTCTAAACATAGAGAGTTTATTCAACAAAGTTTTTGTTTCAAAATGATGCTCCCCTTGTTTTCTATTGTCCAAAAAAAATAAATTAGTTACACTTTTAAGCAGAAGTTATAAAATATTACAATGCTACTAAAGCTGGTGTTGACAGCATAGATCTAATGGTGCACTGTTACAGTGTAAAGAGATTAGCCAGACGTTGTGCTTTAGTAATTTTTTCAACTTGATAGATGTAAAAGCTCTTAATGCCTTTATTATGTGGAACGCATCGAATTCATTGAATGGAAAGAAAAATAAACGAAGATCATTTTTCATTGACTTAGAGAAAGAAAGACCTGGAGTTGATGAAGTTGATGATAACATCTAATTTAGTTGCAATGAACATAACTTAAAAAAGCAGCCGCTGTAAATAGCGACAACAAATGAGACCGTAAACCATGTTCCAAATTTGTTGCAAGAACCATTATCAACCAGTGTATGATTTTGATTTATAAAATTTTTAATAAATGTGGCTATGGTTTATAAATGTTTATAAATATAACTTGATTTAACTGCTTTTGTTTGAATAATAAAAATTAAACATGCAGTAATTTATAAAAAAATATTAAAATACAACAGTGACCCTATGGCCCTAACGGTAAAGCATGCAATATAAATTTTTTTAATCTAAAGGTAGACAAAAAGTTGTTGCTCAGGGGCCAAAACTTCCTGACAGTGTTATAACAAGATGGCAGTGACTGAAATTTCTTTAACAGATTTGTTATGTCTATCGTATCGTATGATATCCTAAATTTGTAGGGCACTTCTTGTGAGAAAACTTCAAAATAGGACATTCCAAATCTTGATAGGATAAACCAAATACCTTCTTTTATAATAATAAGTAGTAGATTTGAATGGCGGATCAAATACAAGATCAACGTTGATAGAAGACCTAAAAAAAACTGGTATACCGTCTGTAAGACAATCTCTCACATAAAGTGCAAATTTGAATTTGATTACCTCTGGCAAACGAAGTCAGTTTAATTCATTTTGCAAATATAGCTCGATATCAAACCCCGTCACAAATCTAACAGCAACATTTAAAATGAATTAAAAACAATCCATGTGAGATAATTTTATTCCATACATAACTGAGTTGTAATAGAATCAATTCTACTGCTGCACACAAAGCTACAATATTGCTTTTTGAAATTTATAACACTGCTTCTGAATGCTTGTAAGACAGTTTGTTCCTCAGTTTTGAACTTATTTATGTTCAAGGTTGAAAATGTTCACTCACATATCTATGTATTTCAAAACGTAGGGCTCATATAGTTGCAAATTCCTTTAAATTAAAAAATTCTTCTGCTTAAAGCTTTTTAAAAATCTGGGACAAACAAATTTATAAATTGAGATCTGATGTTCAAAGACAAATTAGTTTTCAATAAAATTTTTCGGGATGCGGAATATTACCACAAAATATTTTATTAAATAATTAATTATTAGAATTATTATTATTTATAACTAATTTATTATAAATGCTGCTGTTGTTTCAAAAATTTTCACTCACGACGCGGGCCGCAGGCCATGGGTTGTGCGTGCATCTTCAATGAAATGGCATTATTGAAATAACAAATTTATAAGAGTGATTTGGAATAACAAAGTAAGCTGCATAGAGTATATTAAAATTTGCAGATAAATGTAAAAAAAGTTAATATATTAAGACTGATATATTTTATTACAAAAATATAGCAAATCTGATAAAAAGTATAAGAAAAAACATTCATAATGATGAAATATTGTAGATATCTTAAAAAACATTCTTACCTCGGAATATCAAAAAAAATGAAAGGCTTAGAATGGTGAAACAACATTATTTTTAAATAATTTCAAAATTCTTTACAAGAAAAACAGAGATAGAATAAATTATTCAAAGATATTACCGTTAGCCATGAGAAATTTTGGAATTAAATCAATGTTCCAGTCCCTTGTTCTGCCATATTCTTTTGGAACATCTTTCTTTATTCCAAAATGTGCATACAACTGGAATAAAAAAAGAAAAAGAGTGCATATTTGCATATTTATGTTATTTTTTCCATTTTAGCTACAAATATTGTATGTTGATTTGAACTTGAACTAGAAAAACTAAGAAAATTGACTAATTTCACCAGAGACCTTTAAGATCTATCACTTTCTTCAAACAAATTATTTTTTAATTCTTGTTATACGTATATTTAAAGTTTAACATAGAGACAAATAGAAAAATTATCATACGTGTGGTAATATTCACAAATGTTGTAATAATCATGGTAAATTATAAAATATTACTAATACTCAAGTTTTTAATACAATTTTTTTTATGTATTTTTGTGAACTAAAGAAGTTAGGAAAAAAGCGTACATGTGGAAACATATTGTTGTTGATTACAAAGTGCTTTCTAATTTGAATTTCATTGTGAAATGAGTCACAGTTTGAAAGCAAGGTTGACGAAGTTACGAAAAACGTTGTATTTATATTGGTCAAAGCAGTCTGAATTGTAGTTTAAACACTGTCCTAAGTTAGTGGATTTAATAAATTCTAGTGTGGAATCCTCGAGAAAAGGAATTTGGTTGTTATAACCTAATTCGATAATGAACTTTAAACATGAATTCTTTTGAAAGAGGTTTAAAAGAACAAGTCGATGAGAGATTTTGTGATGACAAAAATATTGTCGACGTAATTGGCTTATTTCCAAAATCGGCAAAAATTTCATTTTCTAGGTGTCTATGTAAAAGCCGAAAATAAAGTGTCCAGTTGAGATCTCATGGCTATGCCGTCAATCTGTAAAAGTAGAAGAAATCAAGAGCAATGAAAGGATTTTGTATAGTGGAGTAGAAGTTTTTTAAACAGTTCAGGAACAATGTCGAGTTGAAGAGAAGACGGTCGTATAAGTAAAGACAAATTTTATTTATTGTTTGAAGGCCTGAAATGTTGGTAAAAAAGTTTTCAACATCTAAAGAGGCCATGTGTCCAATAGTATGTTTAAAGGTTAAAGAGCATTCTCTTGGGCAGTTGCTTCAGAGGTTTTCATGACAAGCACACAGTGTATATGAATAATCCAGCCGTTTAATATTGTTAGGTAAAAAAAATTCAAAATAAGATTATACAGAGACATTTTGGGGTAGGCATATATAATAAAAGAAGCTGATTTAGAGTTTTGGTAACCTGGTATGCTTCGAGAATGGCATTGCCGAAACGGCCGTCAAAATTAAATTTTTTAACAAATTTGAACATAAGCAACTTCAACATGCTGAAAATTTGTTTAAAAAAACTACTCACACAATATGGAGTATTTGAGAAATTTTAAACTGAAAAACTGATTGGTATGATATTTTGTAAATATTGGTTTTTGGGGGTGGCAATGAACATATTTAAAACTTTAACTCTACAAAAAGAGTTGATTTTTATCTAAGGGAAAGGGGTGAATTTAAAAAAAATAGTTAGATATCAATCGATCTAATTGGCTTCAAATTTTGTGAATAACATGTTCTGAGTGACAAAAATGTTACTTCATAAAATAATATAGACCTGAAAATATAAAATATTAAAATTTATTATCCTTGAAAACTGCTGGACTGGAAGAAGCGGATGCCTTGAACTGAACAAGCTGGTGACACAGGCTGCGTGTCCAACCTAATTGATTTCTTTGCTGTCAAACAACAGCACCGAAGGCTATTCAAAGATGTCAAAGTTATACCTGGCGAATCATGTGTCACCCAACATAAACTCTTTGCGGCAGACCTGGTTGTCGAACTGTCACAACATAAGTCTAAACAAATACCTCGGAAAATCAAAAAGTGGAAGCTGAAAAGCAATATTCATCGAGAAAAATTTCAACAGATTGTCGCCACACAGTTAGATCACCAATCGCAAGCCAGTACAGATTGGAGTACATACAAAACTGTTTTGATAAACGCTGCAACTACAGTTTGTGGGGAAAACTGGTACAAAACGCCAGCATGAACGGGACACTTGGTGGTGGAATGACAGTGTACAAAATGAAATAGCTAAAAAGAAAGCTGCATAAAAGCAATAGTAAAAATCAATATCTGTTGATGACCATAAAATTTTTCGTGAGAAGAACTATGCAAAACGTCAAGTTGCACTGGCTCGGTCAGATCAGTGCAGAGAGTGGCTCACTAAAAGCAAAGATGAACAAATGAAATCTCTGTATCGTATAGCAAAACAAGCAAAGCGTACGAAAAAGACATAGTCGGTGCCTCATGTATCAAAAACGACAAAAATGAGATGGTTCTTGAACAAGATGAGATCAAGCTACAGTGGGAAGAATACTTCAACCGCCTGTTAAATGAAACAAATCCCATCAAAGTCAAATTTGGCGCTCCACCCATCGAAGGTCCGATTCCAGACATCACTATAGAGGAGCTTACAGAAGCTCTGAAAGCTATGAAGGGTGGAAAGGCAGCAGGGCCCTCTGGACTCACAAACGACATCATCAAAGCATCTGGTACTGCAGGTATCCAAACGTTACTACAATTTTACCGTGAAATCTGGAGAAATTGCTCAATGCCGACTGAATGGAACTATAGCATGACAGTCCCGCTATACAAAGGCAAAGGTGATCCATTGAACTGTTCATCATATCGGGGTATACGCCTGTTGGAACTCTCCTTGAAAATTGTCGAGAAAATCACTGAGAGAAGATTAACGTCGTGCATCACAATCGGAAATTATCAATTTGGTTTTCTAGCGGGGAAATCAACAATTGATGCAATTCACATCCTTCGGCAACTGCGAGAAAAGTACCTCGCAAAGCATCAACAACTATCACACATTTTTGTAGACCTTGAAAAAGCATTTGTTCGAGTTCCCCGTAAAGCAATCAGGTGGAGTCTACGTCGACAACTCATTCCAGAATATCTTGTTCGACTTGTGATGGAAATGTATACGAATACTAAGACTCTCGTCAGCACAACGGTTGGAAACACAGATGCATTTGACATCGGCGTTGGAGTTCACCAAGGCTCGATTCTCAGTCCACTGTTGTTTATAACTGTGATGGAAGATATCACAAAGCCGATACGCACTGGTGATGATGGATTCTAATATATTGTTACAGACGTGAAGGCAAGATAAGAATTGGTAATTAGAAGTTAAAGTGAAGCGCTTGATAATTTAATTAAGAGGCGGAGCCAATGAAAACCGTATTGTAAAATGTCGATTCATCGTAAAAGAAAGCGAGGTATAAATAGACCGACAACAAGAACGATAAAAAAAGAGAGGGAGAATAGAAAAAGAAGAGAGAGATTAGAGAGAGAAGTGCACGAATTAACAAGGAACGACGAAAATTACGAAGAAGTCAGAAGTTTCAGACAGTCCTATTATCGCAGAGATATTTTGTGTGCGTACTGCAAACAAATTAGCGATAACGCCCAAGGAGAAGTTTGTCACGAAGAATTCTACACTACGGTCAAGAAACATCTGACGAGAAGAGCTTAATTATTGACGATTAGTTTTATCCTGTGATTTAATTGTTGATTAGTTATTGTTTTGTATTCTAACGATTTTAACGATCGAACGAACGAGTGATCGATTACGGCAATTGCCAGCTCTGTTTTCTTTCTAATAAAGTCATCTAAAATAAGTCTGTTTAGGAATCAAGAATCCACGTAAAAGGGAAATAACCATACCCTACATGTTCAAGGGGTCGGTTATAACAATATGCTGATGATATTGTTTCAACAGCCACGTCTGACCAGCATGCAGCACAGATGTTTGAAGATTGGAAAACCAGACTCGCCGATCATGGATTCAAAGTCAACATCAGCAAAACCAAAGCAATGAACACTGGTGAACTCATCCAATCCACAGCTACTGGACAATGGCCAAGTTCAGTTTGTAAAGCTGGTGTAGGTAACAATTCAATCAAGTTTCAGCAGTGTAACCAGTGGTGTCACAAACGTTGTTCAAAAATAATTGGTAATTCATCTAAAGTGTCCAATTTTGTTTGTCCTGCTTGCATCAATCCACAACAAAAAATTCGAAATAGCAATGTTTTTGAAGCCATTAAGGTAGAGAAAGTCACATCGTTTCAATATCTAGGAAATGTTCTGGATTGTACTGGAACAGCTGAAGCTGCCGTTCGAGCACTCATACGTGCAGCCTTGAATAAATGGCATCTCATTGCCTCTATATTGATGCGGCTTGACATCCCACTACCACTACGATCAAGACTTTATAAATCTGTGATACGCCCGGTGTTGTTATATGGTGCAGAAACATGGCCAATAATAACCAAACTGGAACAACAACTTCACCTAACCGATATGAAAACGCTCCGATGGATGCAACGAATTAGTCTGAAGGACTACATCAAATCTACCGAAATCCTGCGTCGTGCTGGTTTAGATGATATAAAGGACGAATGCCGGCAACACCGTCTGCGGTGGTTTGGTCATGTCAAACGAAGTAAAAACAGTGCCATAACTTCTCTTGCAGATGTTGAAGTACCTGGCACACGTCCCAAAGACCGTCCAAAAAATTCCTGGTCGCAAACAATCGAGCAAGACATGAAAGCTCTAAATTTAAATGAAATGGATACAACTGATAACCCAATTTGGCGCAAAAAATTGATGGCAAAGAAAACAACGTCTTACATCGGGAGAATGTAGGACGTTTTTTGTCTCTGGACGCTAAACGAAGATTGATTGATTGAATTATAAACACACACTTCTTAAATGTTTGTATTATAAAGACATAATAAAATACAAATTTAAAATTTTTATAGGAATGGGGACCCGTGGTGAGTTGACGTCAAAGTTTACAATGGAATATTACATAGAATTATGCCGTAAATAGAAGTAGATTACAAAAATAATCTAAAACAAACTAATAAACAATTAATACCAACAAATATCAATGATTTTTGTTTAAAATAATCAAGATATAAAATTATTGCAGGCATTTCCTTTAAAAAAAATTTTCTTTGCGTTCATGAAATTAATGCAAAGAAAACGGTTAAAGTCATAAATCTTGTGATCTAAATAAGCACAGGCGCCATTAAAACGTCCAGTATTGGATGCCATTGTGTCACAAAACACCAATCAAAACTACTATACACAACCTTCGCCAACACACAAGACATCTAAAATATATTAACACTAATTAACCATTTGTCATATTTGTTCAATTTTTGTCTGAAATTGTTCCGTTCACAGAAAATTTGGTATCATTTTTGAAATCACACCAAAATAAATGATCTCACAAAGTTTGGATATCCATTATTTGTGATCCAATTAACAAATAAAGTTTTGCCATTGCTTATGAAAGTTTAAAATATCGTTTTTGAAGAGTTTTTGAAAAGTTAAAAATATTGTTCCTGAAGAGTTAAAATATTATTTCTGAAGAGTCTAAAATATTGTTTCTTGCGAGTTTGAAATATTGTTTCTTAAGTGTTCAAACAGAGTTTCTGAGGAGTTTGTCATTGTTTTTGAAAAGTTTTAAATAATGTTTCTGAATTATCAAAATATTGTTTTTGATGAGTCAAAATATTATTTCTGAAGAATTTAAATACGGTTTCTGAAGAGATACCATTGTTTCTGAAGAGATTAAAATATTGTTTTTGAAGAGTTTGAAATAGTGCTTCTTACGAATTTTGTTACTGGAGAGTTAAATTATTATTTCTAAGAGTTTATTATTCCCGGCCAACTCAGCCTCCCGGCCAACCCAGCCGTCCATCCTTTCGAGGCTGGTAAATGGGTAGACGACGTAAGTTGTCACATGTTGGCAGGCGATATGGCTCAGTGGTTCAAATGCTCGCTGAGTCACACATCTCAACGGCTATCATATACTCACCGTATATGATGCGGTGTATGCGCGTGCACATAAAATACATGTGTACATAGAGTGAAAAGGATAAACAGCCTTTGTGGCGAAGATAGCTGCTTCAAATCAATAGATGAAGAAAATAAGAACATAACAAAATTATATAGATAATATATCTGTAACATTGTAAGTGGTTTTTCTATTTCTGAAGAGTTTGTCATCATTTATGAAAGGTTCAAATATTTAAATATAACTTCTGTGAGTTTTTTTGAAGAGTTTTGCCTTTGTGCCTGACTAATTTTATCTACTATTGCTAAAAAAGAACTTACACCGTAGACTTGTTGTTTATGTTTCTTTTATTTGATGTGTTTAGAGTTGATAATGAATGATTTTCAGTTAAATACGAACTGCAACGGGCGTTTCAATTCTTCAAATCGATTTAAATAAAAACTTAAATAAGACGAACCCTGACAATGACATTTCTTGAAGCGTGTGATAATTAAAAAGAAATAATATTTCATGCTTACATCTTCTAATGGAGTTAGAGATGCACTTTCCCCTCCATAATACTTATTTCTATCCATGTGTAAAACTTTCTTTCCACTTACTGACATCATACCACTAAGAATGCATTCCTGCAAAAAATATGAAAATTTTCTTGAAAAAAACATAAAAATACACATTTAGACTTAAAACACAAATTATAAAAACATAAACTTGTCAAAACTATTACATAAAGCGCAGCATGACACATATATATGGAGTAATGTTTTTCATACAAAAAATTTATATTTTTCAAAGAAGTAAATTATTATTTTTGTTATAATCGTCACAAATATATTCGCTAGAGGCGTTAGTGTCACTACGAACGCATAAAGTTCGAGAATGAACTAGAACCTTCTGACATCGAGATATCCAGGAAGTTCGAGAAGAATCGGGAAGACCGGTATATAAAGACGTGCGAGATAAAGATTGCTGTTGAATGTTTGATATTTGAGATTGATTGCTGTTGAATGAGTTGTCGACGTAGACTCCACCTGATTGCTTCACGGGGGACTCGATCAAATGCTTTTTCAAGGTCTACAAAAATGTGTGATAGTTGTTCATGGTTTACGAGGTACTTCTCTTGCAGTTGCCGAAGAATGTGAATTGCATCAATTGTTGATTTCCCCGCTAGAAAACCAAATTGATAATTTCCGATTGTGATGCACGACGTTAATCTTCTCTCAATGATTTTTTCGACAATTTTCAAGGAGTGGTCTAACAGACGTTAACCCCGATATAATGAACAGTTTAATGGATCACCTTTGCCTTTGTATAGCGGGACTGTCATGCTATAGTTCCAGTCAGTCGGCATTGAGAAATTTCTCCAGATTTCACGGCAAAGTTGTAGTAACGTTTGAATACCTGCAGTACCAGATGCTTTGATAATGTCATTTGTGAGTCCAGAGGGCCCTGCTGCCTTTCCATCCTTCATAGCTTTCAGAGCTTCTGTAAGCTCCTCTATAGTGATGTCTGGAATCGGACCTTCGATGGGTGGAGCGTCAAAGTTAACATTGATGGGATTTGTTTCGTTTAACAGACGGTTGAAGTATTCTCTCCACTGTAGTTTGATCTCATCTTGTTCAAGAACCATCTCATTTTTGTCGTTTTTGATACATGAGGCACCAACTATGTCTTTTTTCGTACGCTTTGCTTGTTTTGCTATACGATACAGAGATTTCAATTGTTCACCTTTGCTTTTAGTGAGCCACTCTCTGCACTGATCTGTCCGAGCCAGCGCAACTTGACGTCTTGCATAGTTATTCTTCTCACGGAAAATTTTATGGTCATCAACAGATATTGATTTTTGCCATTGCTTTTATGCAACTTTCTTTTCAGCTATTGCATTTCACTGTCATTCCACCACCAAGTGTCACGTTCCTGCTGACGTTTTGTACCAGTTTTCCCACAAACTGTAGTTGCAGCGTTCATTAAAATGGTTTTGTATGTACTCCAATCTGTACTGGCTTGCGATTGGTGATCTAACTGTGTGGCGACAATCTGTTGAAATTTTCCTCGATGAATATTGCTTTTCAGCTTCCACGTTTTGATTCTCAGAGGCATTTGTTTAGACTTATGTTTTGACAGTTCGACAACCAGGTCTGCCACAAGGAGTCTTTGTTGGGCGAAACATGATTCGCCAGGTATAACTTTGACGTTTTTGAATAGCCTTCGGTGTTGTTGCTTGACAGCAAAGAAATCAATTTGCGTGGCTGATGGTCCACATTTGTATGTTATGAGATGTTCTAACCTCTTTTTTAAATATGTGTTCAGTAAACAAAACCCGTGACTTTCAGGAAACTCAAGGATGCGGTTGCCATCTTCATTCCGTTCTTCATAGCCAAAACCGCCATGTAAGTTGTCAAAACCATCTGTCTTCTCTCCAACGTGGCCATTGAGATCGCCTCCAATCAGGATTGTTTCAGATTTTGGTATTGTTGAGATGGTGTCAGAGAATGCAGTCCAGAAGTCATTTTTCATCTCTTCTGATTCGCCTGTCTGTGGTGCGTATGCAGAAAAAATAATCATTGTTTGCTTTTCTATGCGAAGTTTGATCCACATGAGACGTAATATCCACATAATATCAGTACTTCTTGGGCTAGCGGTTCTCTGACAAAAATTCCAACACCATTTTTGGCCGTCTTTTGACCATTCCAGAATAGTTTATATTTTTCTTTGTCTGAGTTGACATGACAGACACCATTCGATTTCCATCGGGTTTCCTGAAGACAGCTGATGTCAATCCTTCTACGCTCGAGCATTTCTGCGATTTCCCATGCTGCGGCCAGTCAGTGATCCAACATTGAGCGTTCCAAGTCTAAGTACCAAAGAGGGGCCATTCTGAATTTTTCTGTAACATTCCTCCGCTATTGCATACTTCCCAGGGATTCTTGGCACCCCTTGACCACTTAAGGCCTGCTGGGGACTAGGGGCCGTTGTTTTTCTTTGTGATGGCATAAGAGTAATTTGGGGAAAAGTTTTTACATCCGGACACCCATCCTGAAGACAACCACCAATTATAAGCGGTGGGCCTAGCCTTTCGCTCAAAAGCACGCAAGGCAGCGTGGATGCAGTTTCATGTCATACCCAGGACTTTCATACCCAGGACTTTAGTGAATTGTTATACCGAAAGCGATAGTTTCTGAACGTTAATTTGATAGTTTGTGAGTATTAACTTTAATTAGTAAAATCAATTAACGTTGATTATTAATTAACTGATTAACATTTATATTCAATTTGTAAATAAAACGATAATTTGAAAGTTATTTCGCGTCGCTATTTTTCACTGGGATAAAACGAACTTGTCGTCAACCGGATAATTATTATTATTATTTGTTCTTGGTGGTATTTCTCGAAGAATCTAAAGGTGCAAATTTTTTCTTGAAATAATGGTTCTTTAACTCTTTCTTTGGGATGATTAATTTTAGTATTATTGGGAAATCATTCTGAAAAGTAATGAAGATGATGACGATGAGCTTTCAACAAAAAACAAAACGTTAAGTAAAGAAGTAAAGATATTATTAAACAGATTGGTTACTCACACGTCTTTAAAACTGTTTTTGCCAAATAGTCAGACATAGTCTACAGATTAACCTCTTATTAAAAAATTTATTTGGCAGCATTTGTACATTGCAGCATCAACATACACCCTCTGCCAAGTGTGTCCAAGTCCAGTACCATGCCTTCATACATGAATTTGAAACTCAGCAAGAAACATGTTTATAAACTGAAGAACCCCCAAACCTGCTCTAAAATGCTCTTTTAATAGATCTTGAGATCTAGACCCTAACCCTACAATTACTTCAAATTTATGAAATGTATCATTATATATTATATATAACATGTATTATTATTGTAAAATATTATTGTAACACTTTAACGTTCGTTACTGCCAACGCCAATGTTATAACTTCAATTATCTCTATTTTCTACACCAGTGTTGTAGCTTCCAACGATCGTCAAGTTAACATTATTCCGTAGGTTCAACACTTCCAATAGATGAACACAACCACTTCAAACGCAAACTTTGTTGAACCTTTACTTGAATGCCAACAGTAATAGAAACACTAAACTAATCAAAGTAACTATTTATTTTTTTATTTAATGACAAACTGACCAGAGAGCCATAACAGACCACTTATCTTGTCAGGAAAAAGAAAAAATAGTTTCCAAAAAAATAAACGCACGTCAATGAATTAAAACTAAAATACAAGATATTAACAAACAGAAATCATCGCATATTAATACAAATAATGAATAAGGCAACATAACAATATTGAAGATAAATACGTAATAACTGAATGATTAAAATAGAATTTGATATGATTATTTAAGTACAAGAGTAAATTTTAAACATGTAACAAATAACATTGTGGGTTTAATAAAAAAAATTTGGTTTGATGGCTATAATTAATGGGTAAATGTCAATCGATGGTAGCTCGGTGAAAATGTTAATCAACAAAATTGGATAAGCACATAATACGAAAAGATAATAATTTACAATGAGACAATATCAACATTAATAGTTAGATTATAAACAAAAATTTATTTAAGTCAACAGATAGCAGATGATTTCTGATAATTGCAAGAAGTTGAGAAAACAAGTTCTGCCGGCAAAGCGTTCTATACACGGATAATCTTGTTACGGTAGAAATATTTTGTTGCATTGTCGCTGGCATTAAAATCGGCATTGACGACCACGAGTTGACAAATAAAGTGAAGGCATGAAATGACTGGTTAGGTCAGTTTCGATGAGGTTGCGTAGTATTTTGTACAACAGGCACAGATCGAAAATTAATCTACGACTTTCGAGTGTTTCTAATCCAACTGCGTGTAATCTAGACAGATACGAAAGATGACGTATTGACGGAATGGATTTGGTAAATCTGTGAACACTTTCAATCTTAATCACTTGATATTTGTAGTGCGGACTCCATACTGGTGAGCAATAGTCTATTTGTCGTACATATGTACAGAAAACTTTCGTAAGTAGATCTTTATCTCTGGAGATGAAACATGATTAGGCGTGCACGAGAAGTTTTGTGAGCGATGTCGCTGATATGAAAATTGAAGTTGAAATCGTTGTCAACTATCACTCCTAGATCTTTGAATTCGTTTAGACAAGTTAGAAGCTGTTGGTCAATTGCATATTGATGCGGATTTAGGGCAGATCTTGGTGATGGAAGAAACGAGCAATGAGAACATATGTTTGGAGAAAGTGGTAGTTGCCATTTGATAATCAAAGCAACTATGTTGTTAATGACCTGTTGAAATTGAGTTGAGTTAGAAGAAGGGCAAGACAATTTGATACCATCAGTGAAAAGCAAAATTAAAAAAGTTTTTGAAGACAATGTCCTTTTAGGGTGGGACCCAGGACACTACCCTGTGGAACATCACTAGTAACAGATACCGAACCTGATAGCTTACTCTGAATCCGGACTTGCTGAGAACGTTTAAATACGAAGTCTGTCAGCCAGAAAAGTAAATTTCCAGACATTCCGTAGGACTTTAATTTTCCAACTAGCTTTGAGTGCAACACAGAGTTGAGAGCCTTTTGAAAATCCAGGTAGATGGCGTCGCAGCTTTCCTTGTTTTGACGAATTGACATCCAGTCACTCTAAAATTGTAGTAAGTTGAAGCAGGTGAATCTGGCAGGAGAAAAACCGTGTTGAGAACTAGTACTCAATTCGTTCTCTAAAAGAAAAGACCATTTTTACGTTAATAATTTTTTACATTACTCAACAACTTGAACTGGTGAAAGACGTTGGTCTGTAATTACTGGGGTAATTGGTAGGACCCTTTTTATGGATAGGAATAACAATTGCAGTTTTCCATTTGGTAGGCAATAGATTGCTTTTAAATGATAAATAGAAAATGTGACAAAGTGGAACTGCCAGAGTTGATGCACATATCTTGAGTATAATATGGACTAGCTGATGTTGAATTTTTTAAGTTTCGTAGAGTTAAAAATGCTATGCGAGGTGTGAAACAGGTATCTTCTTTCTAGTAACCTTCTGGAAAGACGAGGTAAGGGATAGTTGTCGCTGTTGTCATTTGTAAACACAGAAGCAAAATAGCCGTAAAAAGCATTAGCCATAACAAACGGGTCGTGTGTTACAATGTTGTCATCTAATCTTAAACTGCTAACCTGTAGTAGCGAAAACAATCTGTTATTGACATGCTGGTAAAAACTTCTGACACTAGATTTAGAAAGTAACTTTTGTTGATTTTTTTGTAGTGTATGAAACATTTTTGCGACATTGTCAAGTGAGGTTTCTATCATCTGAGGAAGAACTTAGTTTCCATTTTTTTCAATAGTGATGTTTGATTTTATAAGATAAACGAAGCTTATTAGGAACCGGATATTTACGCGTTGTATTTTTCTGATGAATTTGAGAAATATGGATTGACATTACATTGTGGATTAGCTGTTCGAAAATCTTCCAACAAGTATTAACGTTAAAGCAAGGCTGAAAAATATGATCCAAGTTTATCAGCCTCAAGCAATAGTTCATACCAGTAAAATTATAGTAGAATATATCACTATAAAAATCTACTTTTAGTAAGTTTCAAGTACCGAAGTTGACTTGAAAAATAAGACAATTGTGATCACTGAAAGAGAACGAGTAAGAGATTTCCAATTCGGCCAGCAAACTGGTGTCATCAGATAAAATAAGATCTAGAATATTGTTTCCTCGTGTTGGTTGATCGACGAGCTGATGAAAACCCAAATCGTTAAAAAGATCGATAATGAAATAGATGGAGTTATTTAGTGTTGAATAATTAATTATTCCAGTTAATTTGAGGAACGTTAAAAGCACCCATCAAGCAGTTTACATTGCCCTTGCTAATCTTTTTGATACATCTAGCGCTATCTAGCGCGTACTCTTCTGATGCTTGGTCTAACCACCACTACGATAGTAGGAGATGAAGCGATAAGTTTTGCTTGAAGTAGAAATGTCGATGTGTGAAAATTGGTGCGGTATAGAAACAATCTTGTATGGAACAGTATTTTTGATGATGAAGGCCACACCACCACCGCGTGATCCCTGATCCTTTCGAACTAAACAGAATCCTGAAATCAAAAAAAAAAAGCTAAATTATCAGGATCATTAGGGGAGAGCCACGTTTCAATAAGAGAAAATATATCTGGGTCGTAAACTGATAAAAATAAACTGAGATCGTTGTGTTTCTTCTGGACGCTACGCACATTGGCTAAGGCCATACGAATAAGACATTTATTGTTTGTCTGAATGAAAGGGCTGGTCATTTTTAGAATTGGTGTTGACTGCTTAAAGTCGACGCCCCTCCTGTCTCATCAGAAAAGCTTGCTCTGCCTGCCTCTTAGAGAGATCAGGGTTGATGAAAACATTTTTCGTAGCTGGAGATGGATGAAGAATCTTTGAAAATGCAATCAGATCTTCAGCTGCTGACAAACTGTTTAGTGTGATGCAGATTCTGGGGTTACCAATACGGCAAATTTTTGCAATTTACGGTTTGATGGTGAGGTGGTTTTCGCAAAGAGATGAAATCACATCTCTGTCGTTACCCTCCAACTGAAGCTCCAAACCTGAGACAATTACGTTTCGTGACCGACGTTCTTCATCTTTTTTCTCCGGCTCCAATGTCCACAAGGCCCTAGTCATTGTTTCTAGCACGGGAGATTCATTGAGTTTGACCACCTGACACTCGAAAACGCTGGCGCCAAGTGTTGAAATGGCTGAGTGCAGTTTTTTCATGCAGTTACAGAGTTTTACATATTTCTAACTGCAGATTCTATTATTATTATTATTATTATTATTTAACTATTAAACTATTATTTAACGCTTCTAGTCTAATTATGATGGTTTCAAACAGTTTGCTCATTATGCTTTCTGAATGAGCCAGTTTTTTGTGCAGGTTATTGTTAAATTTTTCAATTGTATGTTTCAGGCTAAGGTCAGACTTCCCCATTGTTTTTGCCAAATTTTTGTTGGAGACCTCTATAATCTTTTCTAAGTTTTCTTTGATTTTTCCATAACTTTATCAATGCATTTTAAAAAATTATCATTCAATTTTTTCAGAATTTTTGCTATCTGAACTTCAAAATTCTCAGCCGTTATATTTTTAGACATGAGACATGACAGAGAAGCAGAAGTTAGGAACAAATTAAAACTTAGAAATTAAGTTAATTTTTTAATTAAATTATGAAGTTTGAACAAAAACAACTTATTTGCAACAAAAATTAATGAGTTTATGCTGAAATAAATACAATTTATTAATTTTTAAAACAGATAATTAAGAAAAACACACGACCTACAAGAAGCAAGCAACGAGAATCTACATAAATCACAACTACAACTTTGCGTCAAATCTCTCTTCAAACCTTCACTGTTCATATAACACGTGCAGGTGGCGATGCCGGAAACTAAACTTACGTTAAATGATTGCTCGCCATTGCTTCAGATTATAGTAGCGTCAGAAATAGAGTGCTAAATAGTTAAAAAGAGAGAACAAGTAGAAGAGGGTTAATAACATTGATTGGAAACCATATACCATATGTCATTACCAAACCCACAGATTCAATAGAAAGTGTGGAAGAAGTTCTAAGCGAGGATGTTATGTTGGGCGACGAACAACTGAGGATAATTAATGTTTACATATCGCCACTCAGAACGCCAAAGAAAGACGATGGACTCCAAAATGTCCCTGTAGGGAGGATACAGAATAATACAAGTTGTGAAAAATCATTCACTAAGGCAATAGCAACAGCAACTACAGCAGCAAAAGCAACAACAACAACAGCAATAGCAACAACAACAACATCAACGGAATTCAACTGTTTGAAGGATAGATGCATGTGATGTCAGAACTGTGTAATAAGAAGTGCTGAAATTTAGACTGTCTAATAGGCTGGTCAGAACTGTTGATATCTCCACAACGTCTCAGAGTTGGGGTTAGGGTTAGCCAATGTAAATAGTCAAAGCTCACCATGCCACATTTAATGCAGATGGTCACTGAAATTCGGAGCTTCAGTTGGAGGGTAACGACAGAGATGTGATTTCATCTCTTTGCGAAAACCACCTCACCATCAAACCGTAAATTGCAAAAATTTACCGTATTGGTAACCCCAGAATCTGCATCACACAAAACAGTTCGTCAGCAGCTGAAGATCTGATTGCATTTTCAAAGATTCTTCATCCATCTCCAGCTACGAAAAATGTTTTCATCAACCCTGATCTCTCTAAGAGGCAGGCAGAGCAAGCCTTAAAGCTAAACTAAAACTAAAGTTTAGTTAGAAGAAGGTAGAAGCTAATGCTAGTAGAATTAAATAAAAACAACAGTACAAATTCTAGCTTATGCACAAATTTATTTTACATTTATTTTGTATATATTCAAAACCAAATTTAAATTTAATAATTTTAGAAAAAAACATTCATGAAACGATGAACTGTCCAAAATGGCAAAATCAAGTGACTTCACAAAGTTTAGTAAAGAATTAACAATTGAGTATTAAAAGCAATTAATTAGAAATATTAGATTAAATTAAATTAAAACAACTAAGTAGGAAGAAACCACAAAATTTTTTATCAACGGATTTACCAAATTACCTTCAAGCCAGTTCCAAGTACAATAACATCATAAACTTCATCCATTTTAGTTTTGTTGTAGAAATTCAAATTTGTCAACCACAAACTCAAACAAAACCAAAACAAACCGCAAAATTAAACAGCGCAGTGCTACGAGCAGGCTAAAAGCCATCTACAGTCCACGGCACACAAATGCTCAATAATTATAAAAAATAGGGATGAGGTGGTGTATGTTATAATATTATAGTTATTTCAAGTAGTAGGGTCATAGCCCCTCACGAAACAAATACAGAAAAAATAAAAAACAAATAAAAATATATAAAATAAAATTAGCAAAAACAGTGTCAACCGAATCGAACTGAATATAAAAAAAATTTAAAAATTTTCGGTCCCGGAATTTTTGTCTCGGAGTTTTGAGCTGCGGGTGGGTGTAGTGGTTACGAGCTCAAATGCATGCTATGCCACATTCTAAAGATTATCATGTAATTCGAGTATGTGATACGGTGAATTGCGCGTAACTTGGCATGACGTTTGAGCATGAGTTTGAATATATATAATATGGATATGGCAGGCGCGTTATATATATATAAACATTTTATATATATATATATTCATATATATTCATATATATATATATATATATATATATATAACAAGGGGAGGCCTATTTACCAATATACAGCATTTTCTTGTGGGTTGAAGCAGGGATAGGCAAAGAATCTCAATTTATTCAACTTTTAATTATTTTCGGTAATGTCGATTTTATTTTTTAAAATTTATACCAAATAAAAGTAATTAATAACCACATTGAATAACAATTGAAAAAATTAAAATTTTAACATTATAAATAAAATCAATATTCCTTAACGATCGTAACTTTTGACTCGAACGAAAAATCACCCTCCAACTCCCCTCCGGAAGTAAGCTCCTCGTTCGACCGTTGAAAGTGAGCGAAGGCCGTTATATTTATTCTAGTTATGTGATTTTTTGGGTTCCAGGACATTAATTCTTGATTATAATTAGCGAAAGTTTATTTTAAACATTTAAATCTGAAAAGAGATTAAATATAATCTCGGTAAGAATTGTCGGATTAACGTGATAATTTTCTTTATCAACTTGCTTATCATTCTATTTTTTAATTGCGGATTTTTGGTATTCGGCCTTTGCCAGAATTCACTATTCGGTGCATATCTACCGCTTCGTTTCTTTACATTTTCACTTACTCAAACGGTATTTTAAAAAGTTCTGACGCTAGTTCATTAATAGCTTTCTATTTTTCAGTTTTTATTATTCATCATATTTATCAGAATGTCTGGAACAGAACACGGATTATAACTCCTTTGGTGCACAATCTCAAAGCAGTGGAAAAGGTGTTGCAGCCATATGCAATGGTGGTGGTGCAGCGTCATCAATACTTATTGAAAAATTATGAACCCAATTCTCATTTTAATTATGTTTTAATCAATTCATTTTTCACGGTCTACTTTCTGTTTGGCTTCAATATTTAACTGTTCTCACGTCAATCATTCAAATTAAGACTTAATTTGAAACTAACTCCACTTAATTATTAAGTAACTCCACTTAATAATTAAGTGGAGTTACTTTCCAATCATTTTCTAAACTCAATTTGAAATGGTACCATTATTTTTTGATTATTATAATTAACATGTTGATCAGTTAATTTGTTAGCCAATTTGAAGCCAGCCACTGTGCAGATTTTAATTTGCATATGTATTCCCATTTAATTAAACCACCATTTATTATTATTATTATGAAAAAACATGGGCGAAGACAAAATGTCCCTATGTCCGGGACACAAAATTAACTATAAAATTTTAACACATAAACAATGTACATGAATATATGTTAATATACATAAATATCAAACATAAAGATCAAACAAGAATCAAAATATAAACAAAATATAAGAGAAAAATTTCTATTATTAATTCAACTACCTATATTTTATATATATGTATGCAAACATTTCTTCATAAAAATTCCAATTTCAACCAATCATATATATTGTTTTCTCTTAAAGACAATCATGTCAAAACAAACATTTATACCATCATCCAAAATCTATAAACAGCATTCACGAATAGTCACCCTTCAACTTCGCTCTCCAATCGTATTTAAATTTAGCATTCATAAGAAAATCATCCAACTATTTTTTTAACTCATTCAAATCACTGCAATTAATAACATCATCATTCAAATTATTCCAAATATTAATAGTTCTATTAACAAAAAATTTAAAATTCTAAAATTTTTTTATCAGCCCATGTGTTACGGACAAGTTTCAACATGTGACAGGCATCAAATACTACATAGATTTCTCTATTAGTTGATGGTAATTTAAAAGATGGTTTGACAAAGGTAGGCAAATCAAAAAGACATCCAAGTTTTATGCGCATCACAAAGTTTGTTCGTAAGCCATCCATCACCAGCGTCACTACCTGTATTTGGACAATAATAATATTCAAGTGACATTGATAAAATAACTTTAAAAAATCTAAAAAACAAAACAGAAATTGTAAAAAGTTTTAACAAGAATTATACTTTCAATCCAATCTCTTCTAAAGCCTCAAGTGCATTCAATACAAGAACTTGTTGCGTAGTTGCTGACATGCTTTTTGAACAGAAAGTAAGCAAGGGGATACTTCCATGAACCTGACGTACCAATTGGTATTAAAACCAGGGCCTGTGTTGCCAATTCATTGGATGTGTAGTCTCCACCAAAATGTTCATAACCGGAATAGACATCTTTATGTTTTAAATATATCAGTTGTTCCCGAATTGACATACTATCTATCATCAAAAAACAAAGTGTAAATTGATTTGAATCTGTTTCGTGTTTTTTCTTCAAGAAATTCAACATAGAACGATTGAGGCCTGGTCCTCCATCTACAGATTCTAGCCACCTTGATACAAATAAATACTTAAATTTTTTAATTGTAATTATACATATATAATATCAAACATTAACTTACCGTGCTAATTTACGTTTATGTGGCAGATGTAATCCTTTACATTTCAAAACTGGTAGCTTTTTCCACTGTACAAATGCAATGTCAATGCAAATCGCTTTTGTTCTTCAGTATAGGTTTTGTTCGGTTTCATGAAAAATTTTGTTGGAATATCTGAAATGCCAATTCAATTTTAAAAATTAAAAAAAGTGGCACATGTAAAGGTTTGTTGCTAAAAATTATTTTTTAAGTTTAATAATTAGCATACCTTAATTAATAATTATTAATTATTAATAATTAATTAATAATTAGCATACAAGCAAAGCGTACGAAAAAAGACATAGTTGGTGCCTCATGTATCAAAAACGACAAAAATGAGATGGTTCTTGAACAAGATGAGATCAAGCTACAGTGGAGAGAATACTTCAACCGTCTGTTAAACGAAACAAATCCCATCAATGTTAACTTTGACGCTCCACCCATCAAAGGTCCGATTCCAGACATCACTATAGAGGAGCTTACAGAAGCTCTAAAAGCTATGAAGAATGGAAAGGCAGCAGGGCCCTCTGGACTCACAAATGACATTATCAAAGCATCTGGTACTGCAGGTATCCAAACGTTACTACAACTTTACCGTGAAATCTGGAGAAATTGCTTAATGCCGACTGAATGGAACTATAGCATGACAGTCCCGCTATACAAAGGCAAAGGTGATCCATTGAACTGTTCATCATATCGGGGTATACGTCTGTTAGAACACTCCCTGAAAATTGTCGAAAAAATCATTGAGAAAAGATTAACGTCATGCATCACAATCGGAAATTATCAATTTGGTTTTCTAGCGGGGAAATCAACAATTGATGCAATTCACATCCTTTGGCAACTGCAAGAGAAGTACCTCGCAAAGCATCAGCAACTATCACACATTTTTGTAGACCTTGAAAAAGCATTTGATCGAGTTCCCCGTGAAGCAATCAGGTGGAGTCTACGTCGACAACTCATTCCAGAACATCAGCAAAACCAAAGCAATGAACACTGGTGAACCCATCCAATCCACAAATACTGGACGATGGCCCTGTTCAGTATGTAAAGCCGGTGTAGGTAACAATTCAATCAAGTGTCAGCAGTGTAACCAGTGGTGTCACAAACGTTGTTCAAAAATAATTGGTACTTTATCTAAAGTGTCCATTTTTGTTTGTCCTGCTTGCATCAATCCACAACAACAAATTCAAAATAGCACTGTTTTTGAAGCTATTAAGGTAGAGAAAGTCACATCGTTTCAATATCTTGGGGATGTTCTGGATTGTACTGGAACAGCTGAAGCTGCCGTTCGAGCACGCATACGTGCAGCCTGGAATAAATGGCATCTCCTTGCCTCTATATTGATGCGGCGTGACATCCAACTACCACTACGATCAAGACTTTATAAATCTGTGATACGTCCGGTGTTGTTATATGGGGCAGAAACATGGCCAATGACAACCAAACTGGAACAACAACTTCAACGAACCGACATGAAAATGCTCCGATGGATGCAACGAATTAGTCTGAAAGACCACATCAAATCTACCGAAATCCTGCGTCGTGCTGGTTTAGATGATATAAAGGACGAATGCCGGCAACACCGTCTGAAGTGGTTTGGTCATGTCAAACGAAGTGGAAACAGTGCCATAACTTTTCTTGCAGATGTTGAAGTACCTG